ACGTACATGTTTACTGCAAATTTCAAAGGTGCTGTGTATGTGGAGTTCACATGCACAAAGAAGCCTTCATTTTTGTTTCGGTGATAAAATCCTGTGGAGAGTCGTTGTTGTTTCGGTCACCTATAAAAATACTCATTAAGTGGTGGGAAATCGATCTTAAATTTTCATAGTGAAGTGTATTCCATGAAGAAGGTGTCAACTCGAAATGAATGAATTCAATTGTACATTAATTAATGAATGAATATGACCAATATTATAATTCGATTTATATGTATGCCGTTGATAAACATTCATTTGGCTCGATAAACATTTTCATTGTTATTGCAACTCAGTTTGTTTATTTACAATTCACATTATTTATTTCATCATTCATCTGGTAATTGTTTGATTCAATCGCCAGACATCACAAGCACTCTGCTGATCGCTATCTGAGTATTGATTAAACAATGTGACATTTGAAGGGGTGCTAGACGACTTGTGTGCGTGTGTACTTTGTAGTACTGACGCAATCAGCTGCTTTAGACTCTCTTTGAAGTAAATTTTAAGATTACTTCTCTTAGTAGTCGAACGGATACTTATAACCAGCCACGTCTAATTTGAAAAAAGTTGGTCAGGTTGTCTCGACTCTACATTTTTAAAATTTCCGCTCCGGCTCCAGCTGTGAACTTTACTGTGCTCCACTCGGACTCCAGAGTAAAATGGATCTAGAAAAAATTATCGTATAGGCAGGCGTTGGATGCGATTGCTTAATGTTGCCGTGATATTTTTTTTGAAGGGTGCCAAAAACTTGTTTTGGCCAAGAAGCATAGGCATCAGTTGGACATTGTAGTGGTAGAGAAAACGGCTAGTAGCTGTTCTCGCTCATTCACCACTGAAATGATTGAGCCAACCTGTTTCGTAGTTAGTATGGTTGGTGATGCTTTGTAAAGCATAAAGAGTGACACTTACTCGTTTCGTGTTTTATATTATCGATATTGATTATACAATATGTTTTATAAACTATCGATAAGAGATTTGCTAAATGTTATTAATTGATTCAGAACGTATCAGTGGACATGTTATAATAGTTGCTGGAAATATTGATCAGTAGTGAGTAAGACTGAATTTATTGGTCGAATGCTGAGATTATTGAATCCTAATAACAGTAATGACAACGGATCCAATGATTCACGTCAAAGAATTATAAGTGATGATAATAATGAATATTATTCAGCACTGGGTTTGTTTATACATTTTGTTGAGGTTTATACATGTGTGATGGGTAATGTTTATTTGATCGTAATATCCGCATTCTACGCACCAAACTGACTCAGAAAATGATTTTGGAATCTGCGCAATTTCCACTCTAGCCGAGTATTATTGGGAATTCAAGATAATTTAGTATTTTGCTTTTAAGCACGAGTTACGACGCTCTATTAATAAGTTCCGTTTTATTCAGTGAGTTTCCATAGGTCACACCAATCAACGGCACCACCATATCCGTTCATTAACAAGTTTCCTGCCAAGAAATTGTCGGTTGTATGAAACGAATTAGTTCCTTATGATCGACCAAGCATTAAGACTTATAAACAAAATCTATCACCAGTGATTTGCTAATCCCCTCTAATATGCTCAGATTCCGTTGATCTAGAGTAAACTTCATGCATACTATAATTATTTGTTCGATATATGAATAATAATAATAATAGCACTGAATGGACAAGAGAGCAACTCGAACGACAGTGATAACCAGTCAACTGATATCGATATCAGCGAACACACATATCACCAGTTCGATCAGTTGAACGATCTGCAATTAATTCTCGATAACAGTGCGTATGATAACTCATCTAACCATCATCGTTCACGTGTAAATTCTTTTTTTCTTCATTTATTATTACCATTATAATAAGTTTTATTGTTTGTAACTGTCAGCCGTGCATCAATAATATTAATAATAATGACAGCATAAAAAGAGTCGAGCTAAACGTAAGAGGCGTCGTGAAATGCGTGCTAATGATCTAACGTCGTCATCGAGCGCAATGAAGTCATCAACTAATAACAGTAATAATAGTAACAATAAACGCACTCATCAAATCTTCTCGTCAATTCACTCGAATGTAATCCGAGCCAGTCACCCCACGATTACTGCGAAACAAAATCAGGTTTGTTCGTTATTTTACTATCACTTTGGGCAAGTGAATGATGATATACACAATCAGATCCGACCACATAAAAACGTTCATAAAAGCAATCGACTCACATTCGATTCAAATATTAACAAAATAAAAAATATTTCAATGTTAGTCGTTCTCATTTTCAATGTTCCAATGTGAATTCTCTCAGCACCTAGCCATTTGATTTACTAACCTCATTTTGTTGTCTTTTTAAGATGTATCTGATCACTACTCTTCTTCCATCACAAACTGATCAACCACTCATCAGC